AGCATAGTATCAAGTGCAGTGACAAAACCAATTATGATAGAAAATCCAGTGACCGACGCAGTCATCGTACCCAATGTTACGGCCGCCAGGGCATTGGTAGAGATGTGGCCAATGGATATAACCGGGGCAATAGACAAAGAGTACTCAAGGAGATGGGTACTGGAAATATATTTGTTAGAATACACTGTTCGTTTCGGTGGGAGAAGCCTTACCCAAAGACCGGGAGAGTATATCTTCCTATCGTCCGAAGTTCTGTCCACCAATCAGAGTCAACACTAGAATACCCAGGTTTTTTTGACGACAGTAGTGGAGTTGCTTCAGAGACCTCTTGCTGCTGATCCATAGCCGCTCTCCAATTTGCGTGGGAGTCATTTTGACCCTCCTCACCCCACTTATGACCTGAATTCGCCCTGGCAGGGATAGTCGAAACCATTTCGGGGGAAGGTCGAGTATTACTACCAGGATGGTTGTTTGTACTCGACGAAAAAAAGAGTATTTGGACTCGAGGACATGCCGAAAGGGGATGTTGATTGGTCCACCTCTGGCGTGGGTTCAGCAAGGCCCCTTGCAGCTGCATAGCGCGACACAAGAGCACAATCAGACTGAAAGGAGGCAGAAGTGGGCATTGCCTGTGACATTATGGAACAGGTGTGGTGGAGAGTAAGGTATAAGCTCCAAAAAACTCGGCTCACTTCACCGAGTCAGTTGAATAAGCAAATGAATAAAACTCCTGAGCGCGTGCTGTAAATGGCCAAATGGCGAAGTCTTCAATTCCTTATCGGGACCGTGGGTGGATCTGTCAGTAGCAAATATCGTAATTATAAGAATACACCCGAAAAACTACAAGGTCATGAGGTTCGAGTCTCTACAGCGATTTATGGCTACAATGTACGGTAATCTTGAAAGAAATGCAGGATGCTCCGGAATATTAAGCAATGCAAAGTGGTAACAAGTGCTTTGAACTACGCGAATAACCTGAAGCCTATGTAAATTATGCCATTTCTACGTCTTCATTTGCAGAGTTCTTCCCTTCGTTTTCTCCATCTGTGAGGACTGCCTTACTCAAACGTAAGCGCTCTTCCTCCAATCTGTCCAGTCTCTCCAATTCCTCGTCGGAGTCATCAATAACATCCGCGCTTTTACTATCGGGCAACGTTAGGTAAGACGCCGGTGGATTGAATTTCAGCCACTCACAATTTCTTACGGGCGCGGTGCTCCCCCTCTTCCTCTTCTTCATCGTTCACCACCCGCTTCTTAGTCAGACGCTTTTTCGGTCTCTCAAGTTTGTCGGCATCTTCTGCGCCGCTGCTGTGGGCCTCTTCTCCCCCCTGTCCATCTTTTCCTTTCCGTTTCCGGACCACACGGGGTTTCTTCTCTTTCTTCTCCCTTGGCTCCTTTGGTTCCTTCGGTGCTATGATCTCGGCGTCGTCATCATCGAACAAATCATCATTTGCAGATTTTTCCTTCTTGCGACGTTTAGGTTTTTCTTCTTCTGAAGAGTCGTCCCGGTGTTGAGCAGCCCACAAAGCCGCTTCCTCTCGCGCCTTTCTCCTCTCTTCTGCAAGGGCCTCGGCCTCTCTCTGTAGTTCTTCTAACCGTGCTTGCTAAATAACCGGTCAGATCCTGTCCTACTCACTGTGATCACGGTACTCACTTCTCTAGCTTGGGCAGCTGCCCTTTCAGCCATTCTCGTTTCCCGTGTAGCTTCCAGTTTAGCCTTTTGCTCCCCTTCATACTTTTCCTGTTGAGCCACTTGATCTGCTCCTTTTCGGAGCAAAGCTGTTCCGTACATATGACGTTGTTCAGCCATTACTCGATCATAGGGTAAGGATCCGCTATGCTTATCCTCTGAGAGAGCAAAGAGGAAATGTTGGGCATGTGTGGCGTGTTCCAAAGCTTGTTGTAACTCTTCGAGGGTACGTTTGGCAACTGGAAGTGAGAATACAAGCTCAGCTGCTCTCTGCTCAATGACAGCAATGTTATATCGTATAGCCTTGTCTGCTGGGACGATTTGTTGTGCCTGTAATGATGGGTGAGAACAATACAGGGAATGATGAAAGAGAACTTACTTGTTGAGCAATTCTCAAAGCATTTTTCATCGAAGCAAATGACTGGTCTCGAGCACCTTTGGCATACCACGTCCTCGCGAGACACAAGAGGACAGATGAATTTTGATTGTCATAGTATTTCGATAGACCTGTCTCATACTAGGGAGAAATGAGCCTTTGCAAGGTCAGAAGACATAGACTTACACTTTCGATTGCTCGTTCATACTCCTCTCGCATGTAATAACAATGCCCCATATTTGTGTACACACTTCCATCTGCAATGACTTCTCGTACTTTGGCGAATACATCCAGGGCATCGCGGGTGTTTCTCATACGGGTATCTTCATCCTCAACCGCAGCTCCAGCAGGCTTCAATGACATGACACCCAATGCATCTTCGGCAACGATAATGGCTAAGCCTTGGGCAGCAATAGCACATCCTGGATCGATGCTCAAGGCTTTTTCGTAAAACTCTGCCGCACTACGGAACTTGTGCCTTCGGTCTCTGATCATCTCTTCGTTCGTGCTTCTGATTTCACGAGCGAGTTGATAATGAAGCCAAGCCGCAGCACAAGCACCATATAGGTCGGACTTGTTCATTTGAAGAGTCGCATGGACGAATTTGAGCGCATGTTGATGTAGATTAGATTGAAGTAGGAAATGGGTGTAATATGCACGTAAATTAAGGTTATTGACTTGTGCATCTAGTGCTTGTTTGAGTAAGGCATGAGCGTCGTTATTTCGGTTCGAGGCAATGAGCATGTGGGCCAACCGAACTTTTGCTGCAAACCAATAAGATAGAAAGCCTTGTAAATATCAATATATACATACCATCTATGTATTCTGGATGTCGGTTGAGCAATTTATCGTACGCCTCTTTCGCCATTGACCCTTCTCCTTGATCCT